GATGTTCCTGGTGAACCCATGGACCACTTCATAGTCCATCCTACCTACCGATAGCCGAGACACACTCTTTGTGGTGTCAATTCAGTAGCGGCTTGGTTGCGGGATAAGAAAACCAATCGCCATAGGAAGTTCCCAAAGGAGCATATGAGGACAAAAGCGCAAGTATGGTTGAAATTGATCAATTCACGGCTCCTACCGTGCATCCATGACACTCTTATTAGCCGTGAGAAAACTTGTGTGCTATATTTCTTAATGACGGGCCAAAAGGTGAATGTGGGACACTTGATCCGTTATCAGATGACCTAAGTGCGAACTAGCAAGAAAATTGACCGAATGCCCTTTGCAAACATGCTGACTCAGTACTTGCGGCAAGAAGAAGTTGAGAAGGAGAAGGAGTTCTATCACATCATTGCTCCACCCCTGAGACCAACGGACCTCACAAATGTCCGGGTTAAGGAGGAGAACACCACAACTTCACTGATAGGGGCTGAGCGCAATGCACGCGATGACAGCTTCATGGCCCATTTATATGGGATGATGGACTTGCAGCTTCGGATAGGGGGCGGCCGTCCACTACAGAGGAGAGGGCCATATTGGAGCAGCGGTTCCCGCTCAACGCTCATGCTCAGCAGTTGGTTGGGCTAGGTGATGGATACAGACTCCCAGATGATGAGGATATCAACACACCTGAGCAATCCAAGGCCGAGCCGAAGCAGTTAGATGATGAGGATGATGAGGAGGAGGAGGATGAAGCACAAGAAGAAGAGTGGGCAGCCTCAGAGGATGAGGGCGAGGACGCAGTTTGATCAGGGAGTTTTTCTACATCCTACTCATTTTTTTTTCTTGTTTTGTTAGTTGTGTATGCACTGAGGACATTGCATGAAATAAGTGTGGGGTAGGGACTTGTAAAAATTAGTCTTGTTTTAGTTATTTGTTTTTGGTAAGTGTCGTCTTAGTTTAGTTAATTGTTTTTAGTTATTTGTTTTTAGATATTTGCTTTTAGTTAGTGTCGTCTTATTTTTTTGTTAGAAAAGAAAAAAAAATAAAGATATATATAGAAAAATTAGACTCTTCCCGACAATGGATCTCCTAGACAATTTTCTTGAGGGAATTAAGTCTAAAGAAAAAAACCAAAAAGATTTTCTTGTAGGTAGTGTAGTAATTCCCCATTGGTTTTTCTTTGGGCCACGGTTCTTTTCCAAGGGTTTTATTTGAACCGGGTGTAGATAGTTTTAATTTTAGGAGTAGAAACCAGTGGGCTATGAATTGAATTGCAGCGATATCTCTCAACTATGTTATGCCTTGAGAATAATTAGTACTCTGGTTGTGACGCTTAGGCTCAACTTTTGACTCTATTATAAGTACCTTAAATCGTAGATTCTTAAATTTCCTTAACTGCTTTGACTGTAGTGTCGTGATAAAACCAATCCTGAGTGAGTTATGTGCCATGTCTGTGTGAGGTCTGTATGTATTCTGTGCATTGCATTTGATGTCTAGAACTTGCCCCGTGTGTGTGCAAAGCGAAATATTAGTCTTGTTAAGCCTAGAAAGTGATATAGGCGTTTCTTTGTTGAGCCAGATATATATAGTTTACCTGCCTAAATGTTATGTAACGTAGTTAACCCCTTTGAGCCTATAATCTTGTTTCTTTGGTAACCACATTACAAGTCGTATCCCTTTGTTTGAATCGACCATATATTTGAACCTTGTCACCTCTCATGAGCACTTGAATTGTGATGAATTATGTAAAAGTTAAAGTGTGGGGTGGTGGTTTATCTTTTAAGTGGAACAAATGAAATAAGGAGAAAGGTGCACCGTTTGAAAGAAAAAAAAAATATGTCAATAAAAACCACTTGGATTGGAAGAAAGAAAAAAAAAGAAAAAAATATAGCTGTATTGTATGAAAAATAATTCTTGATGGTGGTGGCTAGTGATATACTGGTGCTTAAAGAAGTATGGGTAATATAAATTGAAGTGAAGGTGGAATTTTGGTTTGACATAAGTATGGGTTGTAGTATTAAAGTATATGTATTAAAGTGCTTAAGGGAGGTGTAGTCACTCATATCCAAATGTATCCTACCCGACCCGCAGCCTACATTACAACAATTTAAAGTCCTACTTGATCCTAAACTGAATGAGCTCGATTAGTGGAGTATTACACTACGGGCAAGCCTATGGTGCATCATTTGTGGCATATAAATATTATTTCTGAGAGCGAGTGAATTTTTCCTATCTTGCGTTCTTAAAATTCATTGTGTGTGGAACTAAGCTCTTTGTTGGGTGAGGGCACGTGATTTATAAAGGAAAGGTGGTGTCATTGACCTCCATGTTAGAGAAAGTAAGTGAGTTGTGAATAAGGCATGGTATTTGTGAGTCAAATCTTGAGGTAAGGATGTTACACCTTAGTCTATTTTAAAGATTCTTGGTGTGATGAGTTAAGGGAATTGCTTAAAAAGGTCGTGTCTATAAGTGTAGTTTGATTGCTCGAGGACGAGCAATGTTTACGTGTGGGGTATTAATGTGTGGCGATAATTCCATATTTTAGTACATTAATTACCTTGCATTTTATGTGCTTTAATGTTAAACTGCACTTTATTTGCACGTAATATAGTCTATTTTATGTATAGGTGAATTGGAGATGAAAGTAGAGCAAAAGGAATATTTAAAGTCTAAAGCGTGCTCGAAAAAAGTTGAAAAGAAGAAAGAAAGAAGTGAGCAACGGAGAAATGAGGAACCTGGCGAAGCAAGCTAAAGAGCTCGTGTTAGAGTTGGTTGGGCGAGCCTTTGAGCTCGCGCGGGAGCAAGCTACGGAGGGAAGAGGCGAGGTCCAGCTCGCATGAAGGCTGGCGACGCGTGGTCTGGGGCGAGGTCCATCTTGCGTGGAGCCTCGCGAGGCATGGTCTGAGGCGCGCGTACTCCGGATTTTGAAGGCTTATTTCGTCTCCTGAATTGACTAGGACTTGGCCTATATCGTTTAGGGCTTTCCTACACATATAAATAGGCATTAAACACCACTTTTGGAGGAGTTTTGCGACCGGAGGCAAGAATAGCTCGTGAAACACCCGTTGGGAGTTAGAATCATTGATTTCTACATTCCTTCATCTTTACCTTGTACTTTAATTATGCGAAATATTTGGGATATTGTTACTATGAGTATGAGTAGATAAAATCCTAATCTAGGGTTTTGATGGAACCTATTGGAGGATGATTTTTCTGTTACGTTAATATAAATTTGCCGTAGTATTTTCTCTATTTGTTCAACTATATTGTTATTGTTGTTGGTTGAAGGGCCCTCAATCGACTATGCCTATTTAGTGTGTATTACTCGGAAAAGAGTGTATATTTAGGTAGTTGTTGAACAACATCACTCCTAACATATATGGGGATCAATACGGAGGGTTTAAAGGTGGGGTTAGGAATAACGAATCCTCAGTGCGATCCGAGTGAGCCGTACTTAATGCCAGCTAGCGTAATTCGGGAGAATATATCTAGTAAATTGTGGTAGTTACTCGAGAGAGAATTACGACACTCAGAGAGCTCATGATCGGTAGATAAGACTTAGGCAAATTTATAAAAAACGTAGCGGAAAGGATTCCAACAATAGGGAAAATCATAACCTTAGATTATTCCAATTCTTGTCTACAACCTGTTCATTAGGCTGCTTATCGGGTGGATTGGGTGGTTATTTACTCTTAATGGTTTGGCTTATCGGTTATCGGCTTTTAGATGTATTAATCTGCTAGCCACCGGATAAGTTATCGGGCGAATTGGTATTGGTTTAGCTCTTATCGGGCGGTTATCGGGCGATTTATCGGCCTAATTCCATCTATATTGCACATGACGCAATTTACCAAATTTAGCGAGGGTCCAAAATTTGCTTCGCCGTGCTTCAAATGTATGCTGATGTTGGTCAAAGAATGAGATTTCTTGCTCTTGTTTTATAACTGCTCCAATTTTCTTTAGATGTCGCTCTAATTTCTAAACAATCCAAGAACACCTGCCGAAATGTGTGCGGACTGACGTTTTTTTTTACATGCAAGCAAACCTGCAGATGTATGTGTTAAACCCAATTTAACAGCAGATTCTACTCGTTAAACTATCTCTTGTTTGTTAAGTTTTGGTACTTCCACTGCACCTACTGGAGGTGGTAAGAATGCATAAAGCAATTAAGTAAATTATTTTTGGTTTGATAGGATTGAAAAGAATGCGCGAAGCAAGCAATTAAAATTTGTCTAATAGTAAATTAGTAATAGAGAATAGAGATAGAGTACTAGAAGTGGAAGAAGGATTTTTGATTATTTAATATATATATATATAGATAAAAATAAATTTTATATGTATATATACATTCTTAACGGACTATCCGTTAAGAAAATTGAATAATCCGCCCCCAAATCGATAAGCCGTTAATAAAAAAAATTCAATCCGTTCCCCATCCGTTAAACCGTTAACCCGATAACAATAAGCCATTAAGCTTCGGTTTTGGTTCGATTTCCGATTTCGGTTCGATTTTGAACACCCCTACTGTTCGTAGTTAGTTATTAATTACTGCATTTGTCATTACATGATATTTAGTTAGTAAACATCCAATTTATTATTTAAATATTTCTGAAGATTGATTGCGTGAATTTGTGCGAGTCTATTAGATGTGCTTAATAGGTTAATTCCCTGTGGGATTCGACTCCGGACTTGTTACACAGTTGAAGAAATTGTACACTCTTTTTATTTCTTCTTTTGATGAAATGGCTATTTATTTCAACTGTGTATTTGTACTTTTTCAGGTAAAACCTGTAAAAACATAAATAAATAAATAAATAAAATTAGAGCACCATAATTTAGAGCTATGTAAAAAAGTATAGCCAAAATAATTACTTTCAAACTATGTATTTTTTTATACTTTCTAGATACCTTGACTATTTATTTCAATTGTATAAATCTTTATTTTATGTGCATTTCTCCGTTTTCTCTTTCCTTTTGTCTTTTAAGTCTATTAATAGCAATTAATAATGCAACTGTGCAATTTATTAAACTCCATAGCAAAGCGTGTCCTAGCTCTAAACACTGCAGATTTTCCAAAACCTACTCAGAGATTCTCCAATTACAAAAGGAAAGGTCTGTTCAAGTCTACCTAGTTAAGTCATCACGAAAATGCAGAGGCTAAGCCAAAACATCTGCTTTGTACCTGCATCTGAAGACAGACAGAAGTTTAGCATTTAGCCACTATAAGCTTCAAACATGTTATACTAGCCGATAACAAACATGATGACAGTGTGTGTGTGTGTGTGTGTAATCCCTCAAAAGCAGCAATAACAATAATGCGCTACTTAGAACAATATGAACTGAAAACATCACAAGTGCAATCAAGAATGTTTTCACAAGATTAAGCTGATTGAAACAAGGAGAGCTTTAATGTTATCAAGATTGATTTTTGCAAGAGATGGGAACAGTGAAAAAACAACCAAGAAGCACTTGAATCGTGGCAACAGAAGCAAATTTCTTTCATACTGATGTACATACCCTGAGATTGTAGAGTTAATGATTTTGACAAGCAAGGGAAATACCAGTATTACAAGAATCAATTTGCCAAACACATATTTACTAGTATATTCAAACTTCTCCAAGTTATGTTGGATAGGAAGTAGATCTGGGAAGAAACATTCCTAGCATAATAGTTGTGAATCCATGTTATAACTAAGATTTGGTTACATTAGAGAAGACAGAAAAAACACCAAAAGGTAGACACCTGATGTGTCACAGAGATGTAACACTAAGTAGTTGATAGATCTAAAAATTAAGACAAGCCAAGGCATGCGTTGATGCCGAGCATCTACTCCACCTTGCAATTGGAGTTGGTTTAAATCATACCTCAATTAAGAAAAGACCCTCCCTCTAAAAATTGTCATGTGCACGAAATTGAGTTGTAGTTATAAACTTAAGGTATTTTCGATACAGCATATGCTTCATAATAGGATCATCTTTAGATTGGATTTTCCCTATCTTGTTAGGCAAACAAGAACAAACTCATAGCTGCTGCTAAGCACGAGCCACTGAGATTCTTTCATAAAATTCTTCATTATTTTTAGATGAAACGCTAGCTTTACTAAACCATTAAGAACCACAAAAACTAAGTCTCGCAGGCACCATGTGTTATATTTCCCATCTGCAGTGGTGAAGTTTATAATCAAATTCTATATCCAATTATGCTAGAGTATCATAAGAAAGAACCCCTAAAGTATCATGCCACTAAATGGATACAGGAGGAATATGCACACAACTAAGATCAGCATTCTTCTCTTCCCATGTCAAACAAACAAAAAAAGTCGGCATCACAGAGAAGTAGATAGTGAAGTACATAAAGCCAACGATATAATATATTATTATACATGTGTAATGTCTTAGTAATCTTTAATACGAAATAAGTATTTTTTACGTCAGTAAGCATGATGAGATGAGCTTAAATGGAGCGTTATGGGACAATGAAGATTCATATAGTCACCTCAACTTGCCTGGGACTGAGGCATAACAATTGTTTGTAAGTCAGTAAGCATGATATAAAGGAAAAAACATATGCCTAGATGCACGAAATTTTGTCAATGAGATAGATAAATGCGTAAGCAGAGTAAGATAGAAAACATAAGTGCGTAGTTGCTGCATCTCACTAGCAGGGGAGCTCTCGCCTGAAAAAGGAACGTTCATAACTGAGTCCAATAAACAAATAACAGTTGCTAAGACAGCATATCTGCATTTCAAGAGAAAGGAAATCTTGTTTAGATGAGGCAACATCATCTTACCAAAAAATTGAAAGTCGAGTTTTCAGGAATAATGTTGAGATAAGGACCTAAAAAATTGACAATAAAAGTGCCAAGCAGAATTAAGAATGATGGTGTTCAGACTTCAGAAAGTCTTTTCGGAATTTCTTGGAAACTGCTTTTCTTTTCATCTTCTTTTGGGAAAAGTAGGTAATTAAAAAGTAGGTTAACTTATAAAAAGAGGGTTAAAGTGATAACATTCAGAATTTGGGGGCTGTTGTAGAAGTTGGTTCAATTTTGGTTTGAGTCAAACAAAACCACCAAAAGGTTGTTTTTTTGTTTTCTTTTGATTTTGTTTTTTGTTTGTCCTCTAGAATACAATGTTGTCCTAATAAGCAAATGAACATAATTTCTTCTTTTAGAAATCCTTTTTTCAGGGCCAAACATTGCCTTAAGACACTTGAGCTTTTGCAAGGCGCACAGCATAGTGGTGAAGTTTTTGGCTGCGCCAAATGTCAGAATCAAGGAGCCAAAGGCTAAACGAAAATTTGCAAGGAAATAGCCAGCTCTATGTTAATATCTATACCTTTTCAGTTAGCTTCACGAGACAAGGCATGCATACCAAATAGGAAATATATCCAATTATCAGCCACCTGTTGTATGTCCTTCAAGTCCCACCTGCAGACTGTCAATCAGACCATCTTGAATTTAGGCAAAACGATTTATTTGATTATTGTACTAGTGCATGAGGAAACAAATGTAAAAAAACAGAATTGGAAAGAAACTGAATGCAGTCTTTATTTTTTGGATATGCTCAGTAGTGTAATCTGAGGACCTTCGGATTTTTCAATACAAAATCTGATTCCCACAATTGCAGACTATTACTGCATATACATCCTTGTAATTTGGCAACTCTTTTATTTGCTCACTGTTATAATTGAATTATCATCTTGAAACTATTTAAAGCCCCCTTGCCTTAAATTCGTTGCTTAACAAGCCTTGACTACTACACAAAAAGCCTAAAATTATGAAGATTTACCAAATCCAGATTTCACACCCCACCCCCACCCCTTTTCTTTCGAAGAGAATCTAAGACTTCTCTCATTAGGGGTAATGGTGGAAATAGTTGAGAGAATTATAGTAATTAAAGTTGATGAGCTGTCAGAAGGGAAAACAGAATAGTTCATAATAGATCGAAGTTAATGACAACTCTATACTGATTCATCTTGCCATGAAAATAACCAGCTGTAGTCTACCGATTTCTTATCTGTTTATATATCTTGTGATTCGTCACCTCACCAAGACATTTTAACAGCAGCACATTCAACCTGATTTGAACTGGAATCATTCAAAACCAGATTTCATGGTTAGAGAAGGGCCATGTTTCCATTGTGGCATCGAGCGTAAGTTCTATTGACCATCTATATCCCACCTTTTGTGTTTATCAATAATCTCATGCTTTAAAAGTACTTCATTCAGTGATGCTTAGAATTTTTGTTCCTGATCTTCAGCAAATAAAATTTGAAGGCTCACATGCATGAAACACTAAGTACCCAAATTTCCCTAAATTGCCTATCTGCTAAACATAAAACATAGAGTACTTTATCTCTCTCACCTCTCGAACCAAATGTTAATTGATTTCCAGTACAGCAGCCATTAGTCAAACAGGAGCTGAGGTCATCTAGGATAAATTGCAGATTTGGTCCCCAATCTCCGGCATTCATTCACAGTTAGTCCCCCTTTATTTAATATTTTGGCAACCGTGGTCCTTAAGTTCTAGATGATGTATATTCCGAGCTTTTTTTTGAGCAAAAGTTGTACATAGACAGCTCGATTTAGAACAGCAAGCAACACGGAGGGGAAAGGTCCTGAATGAATGTATGCTATTCTTGAGCTACTTTAAGTCGAGATAAAACTTCCTGTTGAAGACATAATAAAGTAAATAAAAGTGTGCTCTCTCTAACAGCTTAAGCTTTTAGATGAGATGGTCACACACTTTACTGTGGTATCAGAGTAGGCAGAAGTCCTGGGTTCGAGTTTCACCGCTACCGAATAACCAAAAAAGAATTTCCACGTGCTTGGCTCATCAAAAAGAATCAAGCCCGCACGTGAGGGGGCGTGTTGAAGACATAATTAAGTAATAAAAGTGTGCTCTCTCTAACAACTTAAGCTTTTCGATGAGATGGTCACACACTTCAAAACTTCATTCACACAATTGTCCAGAGTCCACACTTTCTAGAAACTTAAAGACCATAAACTAAGAAGTTTATATTTGCTCAGAGTGCTCAAAGAACGGGCTGGTCATTCCCAATCCATCCAATTATTAATGTTCCCTCCATGTAATAAGCCTTTAATTGTATATTTGTCATAGCTACGGTCCAGCGCTTTCGATACTATGACAAGCCATAAAACTGGACAACGCTTTTCCTTCAACGAGGGAGTGATGAAACCAAAGATATTGACATCGTTTACATATTTCTATTTGACATGAGGTCTTCCAATAGTAAAGTATCCTTTAAAATCCTGCAGGCCCTCAAACAATTATCAGACTTGAAGTACTGAAGGTTACGTCTGAGAAAAATAAAAGCAAGCAGGTGCCATTCAGCTAGAGGACATATGAGTAAACTGAAGTGAATAGGCTTGAGACTGTATCTATGATTATCTACAAACTCCTTATAAATAAAATGCAATTAAATGCAGTTTGACAAGAATTAAACTAATTTTATATGGTTCCTTAACATGGTGTGAAACTGCAAATACCAAAACAGTTGACACATCCTAAATGTTGATGCATGTTTTACGGAGAGATATTTCCCCTTGTTTTACCCAAAAATTTCCTGTGCTCCTCACTTTACATACTTTTAGATCATAGCGGCTTCATTCTTGTGTCGTATATTCTATAGCTTTTTTACAGGTAATCTTAATTGTCAATGATCATCGTGCTTTAGTTTCTGAGATAAGTTTCTGACCTGTACGAACATATTCATATTTTGAACCAAGTTTCAACACTAATGAATTGCAAACTCATTCAGAAACCCCTCTTTGGAGAACAGGACCACCTGAAAAACCAGTGCTCTGCAATGCATGTGGATCAAGATGGCGGATTAGGGGGACTCTAGATGATTATTTTCCCAAACATGCAAACAGAGAAACTCAAAACTATCAATTACCTTCTGAGATGAAGCCGCATGTCTTAACTCATGATGACCAAAAGCTAGAAGTTGAACCAGAGGTTGCTGGAAAGGATAGCTCTTCAGCTTGTCTTGAAGAGGAAATGAATAACATATCAAGCTTAGGATCAGCAGGATCATCTTCGGACAACTGCATACAGATGGAAGAAACAAATGGTAAAATAGTTTCATTTATACATAGAGCACTTCTCTCGGAAAATACGACGCACATGCTGAATTAAATCCTTTCTTAAGCATAAGGGTTATGAAAAAGGTAGGAAGCTATTAGCTTCCTATTCAGTTTCAGGCGAATGATTTTCTTCTGGTTGATAATAAGCCCAAAACTCTCAGTATAGCTCGAAAAGAATTATGTGAGATAGATGCAATCAGGCAACCAAATCTCTGGAGATTCGCCTTCCCAAAACTCCAGCAGTGCATCTTCTTCTGATTCAAAATAAAAGGACAAAGACATTTTCCCCCAATATTATTATTGAGTCCAATTTCTTTTTCCAATGGTTACATTTGATCCCCCCCACCCACCCCACCCCCAAAACCCCAAAAAGTATTTTAAAAGAAAAAGCGAAAACAGAGGAAGAATCTTCAGACCATTAAACAGAATTTTCATCAGTATTCTCCCACTTTCCAAGTGGTCGTTTTATGTTAGGATTTCATCAGTACCTAATACTCAAAAGGATCGCTACATCATGAGCTTTAAGCCAACTCGACATGCATATATCAAATTCACCTTGAATGACAGTCTGATTAACTCTTATGCAGGAAAGTCTTTTCATTTTCGATTATTGTGATGTGTTTATCAAATTATGCAATGTCTAATCACATCTGAGGTCTTACCAAATAAGCAGTAGGGGTGCAATCACCATATGATACTCTATAAACTAAACATTGGGTTTATTTCTTGCTCATAGGCCATTAATTATAGTGTCTGTCTCCCTAAGCTTCAAAAACTTACTTTTTTTTACACAATAAACTGACATTGCCAAACTTCAGGTAATTTGGATTCTCAATAATTAAGATATGAACTGATCGGTCCAATTATACCTTAACCATACAAATAATAAGATTTTCCCATTAAAAAAAGATCTAGTAAGCTGACACCTAATTGTTTTGCATGCGCTAACGTTCACCTTTTATTAGGAGAAGCAGATAAAGATCCTCTTTGGAATCCTGATAGTGTCCAGAGAAGAAAGAGATCAGAGCTTAGACAACACATTTTGTCACCTGTTGAAAGACTCCAGAGGCAACTTTATTATATTCTACAGGAACCAGACTTTGAGAATCTATCGGCCGATGATGAAAATATTCTAATTTATGATAGGAACAAAAATATTCCTCATAATGAGATTGGTATTGGAGCTATGCTGCTCGTATCACCAACTACTACTACAGAACGCTCGACATCTCTATCAACAACGGCAGAAGATAATGCCTCTTCAATGAATGTTCCTACAGAAAATTCAAATCTGTAAGTGAATTTTGGGATGCATGTATAAGGTTCAAGTGGTATGTGAAGCCAACTCTTATTGTCGTAGCTAGTGCAATGTTGGTTAAAAAAGGGGCTGTTCCAACTCTACTTGATGTCCCCAAACGGGCAACGCATAACAACTTGGGTATTTTGAGACCATCTAATTTGCCAGATGTCGTGCATACACTTTTTCAATATGTCAATGCTGTTTTTCGGGTGCATTTAATATGTCAATTCCCATGTCTGTCAGCACATCCTTATCTACAAGTTTATTAGTTTGTGTGGACTCGATGGTAGACTTGCAGTGTAACATCTCAAAGGGCATTTGACTTACAGATGCTTGTCATTACAACTTTAATGGCTTGCTTTATACTTTGTTTCAGGATAAACAATAATGTACTAGATCATGTGGCTATGCAAAATGAAACTACTGCAAACGAGGGTGGAAAAGCAAAGGCACGTGAAAATAGACTCGCTCCACATCATATGGATACTACATCAAGGGTATGTCAATATAAAGTTCTCTAAGATAATGCTGCTATTCAATCAGATGAAAGTCTGATTATTGAAGAAATAGGTATGTCGGCTTTAGGATAAGGTATGTTGAATCACAAGATGTTTCAAAATTAAGTTGACTAAAAAGTCTCTTCAATGTCCTTTTATGTTACAAAAACAAGTCGATAAGCCACTACCCCAGGAGCAATTAAGACATAATTTTGACTAAAGTCCTTTCAATGAATTTACACTAAAGAGAAGCTAGAGACCCATCAACACATAATCCAGAGCAATTAAGACTCTGATTCACAAAATGCCCCAGAGTAGCAACATGGCACTCTTCAAAACAGATTTAAACTCTTATATTAGTAGGTAGACCTTGAATAAATTATGAAGTAGACATAGTAAAAGCAAAAAGACAACACTCCCTGGTGGCATGCAACTACGTATACCTGCTACTCTAGCAACCAGCATTGCAGAAACCGGAGAAAATGGATATTCACAACCAAAAACTTCTTAAAGTGTCAGAAAGCACTAAAACGAAAGAAAGTAAAATATATTACCCCATAAAAAGGGAAATGGGACATGGAAGAACTGAGAACATCAAAATATGTCATTCTTTTGAACAGTGGCAGACCAACGTAAATGATGATAGCTGAAAAAATAAGTAACAATGGGAAGCGATTCATGAGAATGTATAAGCATGTCTTAGGCTCAGGAGCATCATACAACTGAAAAAGGCTACTTTTGGGTTGTACTTTTGTATTCTAAGTTTCGTTTGAATCTTAGGATGCTTAATCTACTAAATTAATTACTTGGTCCGAAAAGGAAGTAGAAATGGCGGGATAGATAAAATTTTATGCCAAAAAAGAAAAGGACAATGGTGGAGCGAAGACATTCAACTATATCTCAAGTAAAAAGAATGAATCTTGATGGCTATCTTTCCTAACATAACATGATAGCTTAAACTAAACTTGCAACGGAGGATTTCAAAGTCAGAAAGTATACCTGCTTGCTGTCTTTCGGAATAACTTTCCTTCTTCCAGGCAAGCTTATTTATTGTACTTTTGCTTCACGGGCATGTTTGTGACATTACAACTACATCCAGAGCCAATGGTATAGAACATAGCTAATGGACATGTAGTTTCACTAATATTGTTGTTCCACACACCATATAAAGATCCTGTACTAATCAAAATAATTATTATCATTATCAGCAGTAAAACACATTATTTTGAAAACACAGTCTTGTGCTAAACTACAATAGGTCAAACAAGAAATTAGTATTAAAGTCTCTTACCAGAGTGTGCCCCTAATCCTGAAAGGGATAGCCTCCTACATTTATGAATTTGTTTACAATATTAATCTTGTACAAAAAATTTAATCATATCAAGTTCCTCTTAGCCAAAACGATCAGAGACATAAGGCATTTATATACTAATACCTCTAATCCAGCTAAAATGTTTATTAAGGTTATGGCACACCTATTAAGAAAACCATTTAATAACAATAATTATAAGGGTTATTTCACAATGTTACCCTGTATATCTCTTCAAATTACCCTTTATCTCTCCTCAGACTTTTTATATCAATACTATTTGAGCAAGGGTAGATTTTGGAAAAAAGTAATTAATGTCTTCTTGGTTTCCTAAAATGACACTTACTTTGGCAAAATTTTGAAAAGCTAAAACAACATATAAAATGGTTCAGAGGTGGTACTATTTCTTTGATATGGTAAACCTAACCCCAAACCTCGTAGCCGGAGCCCAATAGTGGCTTTTTCTCAGGTTTCTCCATTGGTGAATCGAACCCAATATTTGTCACGTCTCAAATTACCCCCTAGACGTGACTGGCACCTAGCTAACACTACTCACTAGGCGAACCAATTCCTGTACTCTTAACCTTTTATATAAGCATTGAGAGAAACACATACTAGTCCAAACGTATTAAATATTACTAACTACGAAATAATTACCAACTAAAACCATAATTTATTTATAAATTCTAATGAGCACTCAAATAATAAATCTCTAACCCAAATTCCATACTAAGACCATGGAGCATCTAACAGAGTAATAGAAGTTTAATTGACAAGCATGCAAACCCGAACGAAATAATAGACATAAGATAGCTAGAGTTGAAATAGCAGCCTCCACGAATGATGCGGCGGCTCACCTCAGCAATAGAATCCACTCAACGAACTCGTTAGCCACTAGCATCGTCCTCAGCAACAGTATCTGCATGGACATGCAGGTAAGGAATGAGTTATACGTAAATAAAACCCAGTATGATCCTCGACCCTCCACTTTAAATACTCCTGGAACAAGTGTTAGAAAATACAAATACACAACGAGCAGAAAGATAATATGCACAGAAACTCTTTCACCATATAATTACTCCATAAGGTCCAACCATTTATTCAATAACAACAACAATATATATATATATATATATATATATATATATATGCACAACCTATCCTAAGGACTTGTCATAACGGCAGTGAAGGAAATTAACTGAACACTCTAACATGTCCACGGCAGCATACACAATGCTCCAACTCTACCATGACGGCATACGCAATGCCCCAAATATATTACGGCAGCAAAGAAATAATTTCTAACGCCCCAGCGCATAGCACGAGGCTACGCCACGCAACAAATCACTTATTAAATAATTTCAGCTTTTTCACAAAATAATATATATTTGTGGCTGGTCTAAGACCACCGATTCTGCCAAGCGCACGCTCGTCCCATCACATGGACCAGGCAGACAAAACACTTTCAAAACGGGTTTTGTAAAAGCAAGCATCAAAGCTTAAAGTCTCACTTACCTCGCTAACGGAAAGTTCCCAACCTTGCAACGTCTAGAACACCAACCAAACGGCCTCCAATGGCCTCAATCTATTCAAAATATTGAATAACATGTCCTAATTAGTCTACGTAAAGAAAATTCACAATTTTAGAACAAGCCAAAATTAAAGTCAACGCTCGATTTAATAAAAATTTGTACACAATTAAATGTCAAATGAGGCAGTGTAATGCTGCAATGGTAATGTCCCAGAAGAACTTCACGTGCTTATACCATTGTTTTCTTTCTAACATGCAAACTTCCATATATAGTTAAATTCCTGATCATTGTTCTCATCATTACTTGTTCATTACTATAATAATTTCTCCACATCCTTGTCTTAATTATTGTTAACATATACATGGTAACCATATTACTCATATTAGTACACTACACTACTGAAGCGTAGGAGTATATATAAATTACTTGATTACTTTGATTCTTTCTATCATAGTTAAAGACAATTAATTGCTGCTGCTCCTAGTTACTCAAGTCAAATTAGCTTAATTATATTACATTAGAATATAGCATATTAACCTTGCTATGTGCTCCTAGTTTCTCAAGTCAAATTAGCTTAATTATATTACATTAGAATATAGCATATTAACCTTGCTATGTCAACAACAACACTTAATCATCCTTTAGCCACCAATGTTCTAAGACATTAAAGTCCAAATAATTCCTTCATAGACCAGTTCTTAGTTTGCAATCCCACGCGGCGTAATTTTACAAGCTTACAAATTATTGCTATAATATTTGGTGCTGTAATTATCACCTTAATCATTGGATTATACACTTTATTCTAACCAAAAGAATCAATTCAAAAGACATAACAAAGTTTAGTATTACCTGAACTTTGGTTTCTTCTTAATTTGGTAAGGATTCCACCGAGGATCCTTGGTCGTCGTTCTCCAAGCCAACGTGTGCTCTTTCTTTTTCTTTTTCTTTTTCTTTTTTCTTTTTTCTTTTTCTTTCCTTTTTCTTC